TGTTTGTTTGTGAAAACATACACATTTAAGTTAAACGACGCATGATCACCGCGGTATAGCAAGGGTGCCATTTGGGCACCCGTAGGAGGAGCCGGCAGGGAGCAAGACACATATCCGTTGACGCCCAGATTGTGGTGGTCTGCCCGTTGTGCGGGACAGGCCCGTCTCTCTTGAGAGCCGTATGGTCGCCGCGGCAAAGCGGGTGTGGCACCAGGTCACCCCAAGAATGGGCCGTGCCCGTTCGCCCCCGCATTGTGGTGGATGCCTCAATCGGTTTGCGCGCGCCTTGGGTTGTATTGTAGTGGCCTCCGGCCAGTGCCGCCGATCCGGGGCGTTCCGGATGATGATGATGATGATGATGATGATGATGATGATGATGATGATGATGATGATGATGATGATGATGATGATGATGGTGATGGTGATGGTGATGATGGTGATGGTGATGGTGATGGTGATGGTGATGGTGATGGTGATGGTGGTGGTGTGACGATGACGATGGTGATGGTGATGGAGATGGTGATGATCCCGGCCCCCCTCCACCCCCTTTCCTCTCTCCTGTCCCCCCCCCCTCTCTCCTGTCCCTCCCCCGCCCCCTCTCTCCTTTCCCCCCCCCTCTCCTATACAATTATTCAATATGAATACTACTCTCCCTCTTCCCCTGATGACGGTTTGAAAACGGTTTGAAAACATTCGACCCCCACCCGCGTACTGTTGTTTTACTTACAGGATCCCCCGGAGTTGGGTTTTCGCCTGCATTTTTTTCCAAAATGCTGCTCTCGCTGAGGCGCCGGCCTCATTTTCGGGCCCCGCTCGTTCCGAATCGTGCTCGCGGTGGCCTCATTTCCGCCGGCGCCCGGGCTGCACGCCCGAGCCGGCGCCCGGGCCGGCGCCTTGGCCGGGTCCGGAGCCGGTTCCGGCCGCCGCCGTCCGAGGCGGCGCCGAAAAAAGGCCATTCGTTAATATACATTTTTCTTTTGAGAATTTGTGCTGAATTTCTGCTTCTGGCGCCCAGGGAAGCCTCCCGGGCCGATTCCTAGGTTGATACTACGCTTCGCGGTGCTCTTCTACGCCATGCCATGCCGTGCTCTACAATGCATCGCGTACCCTTTCGGGATCATTGCCCTGCTCGACATCCGACTGTGCGAGTAGAGAGAGGATCTGCGCCATGGTAAGGGATGGGAGGGAGGGGTAAGATGTCAGATATGACGCGAGCGCACCTAGCTTGCCCCCCCCCCTCCCCCCTCTCTCCTGTCCCCCCCCCCCCCCCTCTATCCTGTCCACCCCTCCTCCCTCCCCCCCCCCCTCTCTCCTGTCCCCCCCCACGTCTTTTTCCTGCCCCCCCCCCTCTCTCCTGTCCCCCCCTCTCCTTTTGCAGAGCGCCCATCTGCAAAGCGGACCCCCCGCCTTTCCCTCCAGCTCCCGCTCCCGCCTGAGAGGGCCCCTCCCCCTTTGCAGCCCCCCCCCTTTGCAGCCCCTCCCCTTGCAGAGCGCCCCCCCCCCCTCCCCCTTCTCCTGCCCTCACCCTTGCAGAGCAAAACCCGGGGGGCGGGGAAATCGAGAGGGGGGGGGGGCTGGCAGGGGAGGGGGGAGGTGCCGAGCATTGAATTCGTTAGTTAATGAGGTCCCCCCCGCGCCTCCCCCCCTTCCCAAGCAGAGCTAAAGCTCATGCTGAAACGAAGCTTCAGCGTAGACTTCTTGAACTCGCACGCCACGCCGGATCGGCGGAATTTTCTTAGTTGGAAATCCACCCGACTGCCACAACATAGAAGGCGTGGCAACCGATCACCCCAAGGACAGATCTCTTGGATGTATGATGTTTGCCCCCTCGCGCGAATGCCGTGGGGATGCCTTAAGCGGTTTGCTCGTTTTGCGGGTGAGCGTCGCTTTTTCCGGGGGCCACATGATCACCGCGATACAGCAGGCGTTGCAATTAGATGTTTCAGCGACGAATTGCCAATGAGGGGGGCTCTGGTCCGCTCGCGCCCAGAAGCAGATTGTTTCCCCTTGTTCACATTCCGCCCGACGCGGACGGATATTTGGCATGTTCAGCTTCATGCGCACGAAACGTTCACACGCTGTTTATCACTGTTCAGGCTTACTCATATTCATACTGGCCGTATTCAGACCACGCCCATTGAGTCCCATTGATACCCAGATTCGCGCACATGCCGACGTACGACCCATTATCGGACACAGCCGCGCCCATATTCAGTCGCGTTCAGACCGAACCACATTCAGACTCACTGGCGCTGCGGCTGGCCACGTTCATTCCACAAACGTTCACGTAAATTCAATACGCAGCAATGGGGCACGTTAGTGGGGTAGCCGCCATGGCGCCCCGTTCCCAGCTTGATGGTGGGGACGCCTCAAGAGAAACACTGGTTTGGGAGCCAACTGGTTCTTTCTTATGGAATCCTATGGCCATCGCGGTGTAGCATACATGTCACCTGGGCATTCCAAAGGGGAGCCGCTAGGGAACGCTCAGTCGCCACAGGCGAATACGCTCCCCTTCAAAGACTCACAGAGGGACGTGCCCAGAAAATATATGCGCACATGGGGATTCGGCTTGTTGGTTAAATGGTTGGTTGGTCTGGTCGGTGCTGCACTCTCCAGGCAGCTCGGCTCGTCGGCGCGGGGCCGAGTTGCAACGGGGGCTGGTTTTCAGTAGGGCCCTGCGGCCCCCGCATCCCATGCGGCCCATGCTGTTGATACGGGCCATCTGGACCATGCGGCCCTTGCGGCTTGCGCACTTCATCGGGCCCATGTGGAGTATGCCGTGTCCGCGCGCCGAACAACTCGCCGTCCGCGCGCAGGTGTCGCCAGAGTCGTTGCACCCCCTCCGCCCTGCAGAAGCCGAAGCCGCAGCGACAAGGGCGTCACCAGCACGCGAGCAGCGATTATTCGATTTTCGTGCGGGGTTTGTTTCGGTGTCCGGTTAGGCGGCGCCATGCGACACATTCGCACAAATCGATGGTTCTGCTCAAGTTTCCAGCAATTGTACGGAAATCCAGACGGCATAGTAGAAGCACCCTTGTTTATTAGAGCGCGCGGGCCGCATCCGTAGATGTAGGGCCCGCGCCTTCTAAGAAGCAGCCTCCTTCAAAGAAGCCTTCCCCCCTCCCCCTACCCTCGTTCGCGCGCCGCCGAAAATTGGCATGCGTCCGACAAGAACAATATGCATGAAGGTAAACTTTCGACGGTCCGTGCGGATTGTGTTCGGCCCGCGCAGGGGCACCCCTGGCTGCGCCTCTGGCGCCGCCCCTGGCGCGCTCCGCGCGTCAGGGAGGGGTGTCCAGCGCAGATCGGAGAAAGTCGTACGGACCGCCGGAAAGGTTATTATGTTTATGCAGTTGTGTCTCCCTCGGATGTTGTCAAGACGCTGAAATCTAGGTTCCCCAGGTGGGGTCGGAGCACATGGCGTCGGAGGATCGCGCCGCATCGGCGACGCGGTTCGACGTGGAGCTCGATTTTCTCCACGCCCACGCCGCCGATGCATCGCCCACGTCGCCGATGCATCGGCCACACGGCGCGATCCTCCCACCCCCATCGAGGAGGCCTCTATGAGATAAGGTCGGCGGCCCGCCCAGGGGGGAGGTGAGGGAAGGCAGGCCTTCCTCGGGCGGGGCCAGGACAAAGGGTTTTTTTTGCAATCCTTCGTTTTTGCAATCCTTCGGTTTTTTTTTTTTGCAATCCTTCGTTTTTTTGCAATCCTTCGGACAATTCTTTGCGGAGCGTGCCTGGACGCTCTCAGGGCGATCCAGAACGCCTCGAGAAGGCCGCGGCGCCCAACGCATCACCCAGAACCGCCGGATCTCAGAGATCCCGCATTCATCATGGTCCGATGCTGTCCTTGTGCTGGCTGCGTCTCAAACTTATCAGAAGGCGGCTGGGCTTCTCAGAAGCCTTCCGGCCTTCTGAGAAGCCTTGCGTGGCGTCGGAGAAGGTTGCGAAAACTTTTCAGAAGGTGGGAGGTCTTCTGAGCCTTCTGAGAAGGCCTGCTCCCTCTGCCTTCCGCGCCGGCGCACGGCCGAAAAGGACAACCTCTGGCGTTGTTCACCCCGACACCGATAAGCAATCTGTTTGACTGTCGTGGGCTGCTTTCCCAGATCAAGGTATGTCGAATCTTACAGCGGCAACCAAGACCATCTGCGCTGAGACGAAGCTTTCATTTGAAACCAATGACGGGGCGTACACTGAAGCCCAAGCTAGCAGCTTGAGCTCCAGCTGATTCGAGCTACCTCTTCACCAATTCAAGCCGAGCGGCGTCGCTAAATCTGAGGCGACCTCCACACTACACAGCTCTATCTAAATTGAAGCGAATGCGGAAGCCAGAAAACCAGTGACACCTGATTCTAAATATCGGCGTGTGGCAACGAAGACCGCAACGAAGCGTGACGCCAAACATGAGATTCATGACCCGCGCATGGGGTATGTACTTAGGCCAAGTCCCTAAACCGTCCGCGGGCTAGCCACATTGAGATGCATTTGGATTGCCATTGAGGTTCTGAATGCCTCAAGCACGTAGCTTATGAAGCGTACATGGCCGATCCCTTCATTTCGATAATTGTTTCAGTTCTCTTCTGCGGCGTTCGTGCGAGAGGGAGGGAGAGAGAGGGAGAGAGAGAGAGAAAGATAAAGGGAGATACAATCAGTCTGGTATGTCGCGAAATTGGTTCAGTTCTGCTCGGATGGCGCTGTTCAGCTCAATTCGGCGTTTGCGAATCCAAGCTCCACGATAGCAAGATGAGCTCAAATCGATGTTGTTGGCGATTGAAGGTCGCGCGGTTGACGCCTCTGCGTAGTCACCACAGACATGCTGGTTGACTTGGCACCATCTCCGACCGAGGCGACACCGACATCTGCGCTGCGTTCTGTCGCGATCCTCAAAAACCGCTGCTCCCCCACAGGGAGGACTCCGAGGTCTGCTTGCGATAATTCAGACGTCCATCTGGATTGGCATGAAGATTTGACGCGGCGAGGGACACACGGTATCGGAGGCCACCTTCCAGGCGATGCACGGGACAGGCGGCCCGATGGGCACGCCGATGACGCCGGCGGACTTGCGGTCGGGCGGCTACATGGACACCTCGTATCAGGAGTCTTCCCACCCATTTCGTTCCTCTTCTCCTCCCCCTTCCTCCCTCCCCCCTCTTCCTCTCCCTCTCTTCTCGGTCTACACGTCATAGATCTCGCCAGAGCGCGCTCGAGTTTAGCTTCCCCGCGACCCCCGAAAGCCGCGCACAAAAGGTCACTCTTGCCTAGGGTCACTCTTGCGTGCAGCCGATCTTTCCTCTCCACCTGATGCGGTGGCTCGCTCTCTCTGTCTCTCTCTCTCTCTCTCCCTCTCTACCTCTCCAGCACCCTATCCTCCCATGTGGCGAGGCTCAGGGCTGCGCGCAGATAGCCCCTGGAAGTAGTCCAAGCTGGCCTCAGCAGGCCCCAGGTCTTGGTCTGCAGGAAACGCGTCTTGACTGAAACGGGTCATGGACCCCATGGCGTTCCCGGGATCGTTTTTTGTAAAGTCCAGAGGCTCGTGGAGGGCCCCGCGAGTCCGACAAATGCCCAAACTAATCCGGGCCCGCCTCCCTCGGGACCCGCCTGCTTCCTGGCAAAGAGTGCGACCTGGGGCGGTGGCGTCGAGATCGCCCCGGGCGGCCTGGTGGGCCTGTTCCGGCCAGTTGGAACTCGCTATTTCTAGGGGGAGGAGGAGGAGGAGGAGGAGGAGGAGGAGGAGGAGGAGGAGGAGGAGGAGGAGGAGGTAGGAGGAGGAGGAGGAGGAGGAGGAGGAGGAGGGAGGAGGAGGAGGAGGGAGGAGGAGGAGGAGGAGGAGGGAGTAGGGAGGAGGAGGAGGGAGGAGGAGGGAGGGAGAGGGGAGGGGAGGAGGAGGGGAGGAGGGAGGAGGGAGGAGGGGGGAAGGGGGGGGGGGGGAGTCCATGGGCCAGCTCGTGAGCGCTGCGGCTCCGCTTCCTTTGGCCCCGCCCCCTCTCCTCCCGCGCTCGCGCGGCCGGCCCCCGCGCACCTGCCAGAGGGCAGGCCCTCGGCGGGGCTCGGCGTCCGCATCGCATCGGCTGGGCTGGCGGCGGAGCCAGGGACTTCGGCGAAGGAGTTCGGTGCACAGGGGAGCGTTACAGTCGACCCAGATGAGTAGGTTTAAGTCGGGCCTGTCCCCCTACAGGGGTGTTTTCGACAAAAAATGAAAAATACCTCAAACATAGTCAAAAAATAGTCCAAAAATAACCTGGGGATTATTTTTGGACTATTTGTTGGCCTTTCTGGGGCATTTTTGGGGCATTTACCTAACATCGAAGACTGATAGGTTTCTAATGGGCTAAAAAGAGAGCAGCACATTACTTCAACATTACTTCAACATTACTCCACATGGGGGTCTGGGCAGCCGTTGGGGGCAGTTGGGTGGCAGTTGGGGGGCTGTTGGGGTTTGCCGGCGGGGATCGTTTTTCTTTTTTCGCATACAGTCACACACTTCGTGCTTTTCGATTTCCCAGAACTCCATTCCCGGGCCACATTTTGGAAGCCCGGAGCCAACTGTAGGCCACTTCGTGCTCTTATATTTCCCAGAACTCCATTCCCGGGCCACATTTTGGATGCCCGGAGCCAACTGTAGGCCACTTCGTGCTCTTATATTTCCCAGAACTCCATTCCCGGGCCACATTTTGGATGCCCGGAGCCAACTGTAGGCCACTTCGTGCTCTTCTATTTCCCAGAACTCCATTCCCGGGCCACATTTTGGATGCCCGGAGCCGACTGTAGGCCACTTCGTGTTCTTCGACTTCCCAGAACTCCATTCCTGGGCATGATTTTGGATGCCCGGAGCCAACTGTAGGCCACTTCGTGTTCTTCGAGTTCCCAGAACTCCATTCCCGGGCCCAACTTTTCAGGCTGAGGCAGGCTGAGGCTGCAGGCTGAGGCTGAGGCTGAGGCTGAGGCTGAGGCTGAGGCTGAGGCAGGCTGCTGAAGGCTGAGGCTGAGGCTGAGGCTGAGGCTGAGGCTGAGGCTGAGGCTGAGGCTGAGGCTGAGGCTGAGGCTGAGGCTGAGGCTGAGGCAGGCTGAGGCTGAGGCAGGCTGAGGCTGAGGCTGCAGGCTGAGGCTGAGGCTGAGGCAGGCTGAGGCTGAGGCTGGCTGAGGCAGGCTGAGGCTGAGGCTGAGGCTGAGGCTGAGGCTGAGGCTGAGGCTGATGCAGGCTGAGGCTGAGGCAGGCTGAGGCTGAGGCTGAGGCTGAGGCTGAGGCTGAAGCAGGCTGAGGCAGGCTGAGGCTGAGGCAGGCTGAGGCTGCAGGCTGAGGCTGAGGCTGAGGCTGATGCAGGCTGAGGCTGAGGCTGAGGCCGAGGCTGAAGGCAGACTGAGGCTGAGGCTGAAGCAGGCTGAGGCTGAGGCTGAGGCTGAGGCAGGCTGAGGCTGAGGCTGAGGCAGGCTGATGCTGAGGCAGGCTGAGGCTGAGGCTGAGGCTGATGCAGGCTGAGGCTGAGGCAGGCTGAGGCCGAGGCCGAGGCAAGGCAGACTGAGGCTGAGGCTGAAGCAGGCTGAGGCTGAGGCAGGCTGAGGCTGAGGCTGAGGCTGAGGCTGAGGCAGGCTGATGCTGAGGCAGGCTGAGGCTGAGGCTGAGGCTGCTTGCAGGCTGAGGCTGAGGCAGGCTGAGGCTGAGGCCGAGGCTGAAGGCAGACTGAGGCTGAGGCTGAAGCAGGCTGAGGCTGAGGCTGAGGCAGGCTGAGGCTGAGGCTGAGGCAGGCTGACTGAGGCTGAGGCTGAGGCTGAGGCTGAGGCTGAGGCTGAGGCTGATGCAGGCTGAGGCTGAGGCAGGCTGAGGCTGAGGCCGAGGCTGAAGGCAGACTGAGGCTGAGGCTGAAGCAGGCTGAGGCTGAGGCTGAGGCAGGCTGAGGCTGAGGCTGAGGCAGGCTGATGCTGAGGCAGGCTGAGGCTGAGGCTGAGGCTGATGCAGGCTGAGGCTGAGGCAGGCTGAGGCTGAGGCCGAGGCTGAAGGCAGACTGAGGCTGAGGCTGAAGCAGGCTGAGGCTGAGGCTGAGGCTGAGGCTGAGGCTGAGGCAGGCTGATGCTGAGGCAGGCTGAGGCTGAGGCTGAGGCTGATGCAGGCTGAGGCTGAGGCAGGCTGAGGCTGAGGCCGAGGCTGAAGGCAGACTGAGGCTGAGGCTGAAGCAGGCTGAGGCTGAGGCTGAGGCAGGCTGAGGCTGAGGCAGGCTGAGGCTGAGGCTGAGGCAGGCTGAGGCTGAGGCTGTGACTGCGACTGCCGTTGCCACTGCGACTGTCATCGCGAATGCGACTACGACTGCGAGAACAGCAGAATTCTACAACTGGATTCTCATCCGAATCTTAAGGGGAATGCTTCCAGATATGCTCCTACACATCGATGTTAGGTTGCTTTGCCGGGATAATTTTTATTTTTCGTCGAAAATTCCCTTGTAGGGGGACACGCCCGACATAATAGTAGGTCGACCCTGCAAAATCAAGGGTGCCCTTGTGTCCTGTGCCTCGCGGCCCACATGCTTCCTGCATTCCCGTGGCAGCGCGGCCCGCGGAAGGGTCTTGTGTCCTCTCGGGTGTCCTGTCCAATCGAGTCCGACTTTTTTTTGTTTGTTCTTCCTGGGCAATGGCGGGCGTCACCGTGTGGGGGGGGGGAAAGGTGGGCGGCGGGCCAGTAGCCTCACGCTCCGCGCCGGCGCCGTCCGGGCAGGTCTAGGAATAATTAGGGGCAGCTCGGAGGTCAGCACACGCCTCGCGTGGCGTCGCCTGGGGGGGTGGGAGAGGGGGGGGCGGCCGTGGCCTGTAACGGCCGCAGCGCTCTCCAGATGCTCCAGCGTCCCACAGTTTGGGCAGCTGGGGCGTCGGTGCGACGAGCTTCCTTGGCCGACCAGGCGGCCTGGTGTCCACTCCGAGCCCCTGCCAAGCCCCTCTGCATCAGGGGGCCTTGCCCCCAAAAACGGAAAAGAACGGCTCCCAAAACAAAAAAACGACGATCTTGAAAACAGAAAGAATAACGCCCCCAGCCTTTTTCAAAACATCGAAGCCCCTGCTCACTATTCCGCCCCTGCTCTTCACCCTTCTCCCTGTTGGCCCCCGTCGCGGATTCTGAGGCTTGGCTCACCGTCGTGGCCAAGCGATTGCGCAGCCCTCAGAACATAAAGTCGGACCGAGGTATCAGATCGAGGTCGGTTCGGGGAAGGTGCCCTGGTGTTCTTCGTGCTTAATGGAGGCTCTTGTGCATCCTGAGGGGGGTGCCCTCGGATGTTATGTGTGATTTGGCCTGCAGAGGGGCGAGGAGGAGGAGGCGGAGGAGGAGGAGCAGGAGGAGGAGGAGGGAGGAGGGAGGAGGGAGGAGGAGGGAGGAGGAGGAGAAGGAGGAAGAGGGAGGAGGAGGGAGGAGGACTTGCAGGATGATGTGCTGCTGGCCCTGGTCTGGCTGCACCCGTCGAGGCAGGGCCTGGTCCTCGGAGGGCGCGGCGGTCGCTGCTGCGCCGTCGGGCGGTGGCTGCTCCGGGGGTTGCGACGGCAAATCCTGGCGGCTTCGTATCTTGAGACGTGGGCCGCCTGCCCTTTCCACTCGACGGCCCGCCGCTGAGGTGCTGCGTGAGGCTCCGGCCCACCGCTTTAGGTTAATTCGTCTTCGCGCGGCCCGCTCTGACTGGACACGCCGCTGGCGCTCTCGCCTGCGGCCGCTGACTAAAAATTCTTGAGACGTGGGCGACGAGAAAAAACGGGTCCAACTTCGCCGACATTGGCGCGCAAGCTCCCCGCGCAAGGTCGCGCGTGAGCGCCCTCGTCTTCCGTGTGGCGTGCCGCGCCATCGGCCCGCGTAAGCCTCCGCGTAAGGTCGCTGTGCCATCTCGCGTAAGACCCGTTTTTGATCGTCGTTCACGTGCCAGTGCGATCCTCTGATCCTGGTAGGCTGGTCGAGTGGTGAGAACCAGTGGCGCACGCGGCGCAGGGGCAGACTTCCAAGCAAGGGGTGATCGTCGATTTGAGCATCGGTGGCGACACGCTGCCGAGCTGCGTAGGATTTGGCGCGAGTGCGAACGCGCGAATGCATTCTGGTGTTCTGGCTTTTCGGCCGCGCGCCGTGCACGCAAGGGGAACGACGCAGTCCTGCGCGGAGAGGAGTTGGAGGAATGATCGAGGTCTTCGGGTTGATGGAGCAGGCCTGGTGATTCGTCTCGCAGACAGGTGAGGAGGTGTTGGCGAATGTGCGCACCTAGGGCTTGTCGAGCTGGCTGATCGACAGCTGTGGGTATTGTGCGAGCTCGTGGGGTGTGAGAGCCGTGGGGGTCCCTATGATATAGATCGCTAAGGCCATCACCTTGCACCCCCAATTTTGACTTCAGCCTGGTCCACCCGTAGACGCTCAATCAATAAACTGGGGTGCAGCAGAGCTCTTGAACTTGGCCGCGTTGGGGGCCCAGGTTCTTTCCAACGGCAGTGCTGCTGACATCAGACAGGGACCGTACATGGACATTCTATTCCAACCCTGCGTCCCAAGATGCCCCCCAGACCCCCCGAAATTAAGATTGATGGCGTGGCGACGGGGGGGGCGTGAGTGGACAGACACATTCGAACCCCAGAGCACCGCTTTTACTGAGATCAACAATGATGTCGGGGGCGTGGGGGTGATTTAGAGTCCCCCTCGAATGTGTAAGGGTTCGAAATCTATTTCAGGAGGAGAAAAATCACACCATCGTCGGCCCCCCAGGAATTATGGGAATACATGGGCACTGGAGGGGAAGACAGAAGCCCAGGAAATATAAGAAAATGTGCGGAATCCTTTTCTATTTTGTGTATATTTATTTGTGCGTCCCAAGGCCCCTTAAAGATTGTCCATCTACCCGAGGGCGTCCGCAGGTCGAGGCCCTGCTCCTATTCACGCGAGGGCGCCTCGGGTGGCCCCAGATCTGCGCGTGGCCTCGGGCTCTGCCGGCTGGACGGGTGTTGCCCAGGCCGCCGCGCGTCCAGGTGCACCCAGGTGCCTTTCTGATCAAAGAGGAGCGTCGCTCCTCGTTTAGCGTGGCGCCCTTTTTGTTGTGATGGCGGCAATGCTCGGGTTAAGTCGGGCGTGTCCCCCTACAGGGGGGATGTTCGACGAAAAATTATGTACCCCAAAAGTAGTCAAAAATAATCAAAAAATAGTCTGGGGACTATTTTTTGAATATTTTGTGACCTTTTTGGGGCATGGTTGGGGTATGTTTTGTTTTTCGTCGAAAATCCCCCTGTAAGGGGGACAGGCCCGACATAAAATTACGTCCGTGGCGTTAAGCCGCAGTCCCCCTCTCGGGGGCTGTCTGGGGACGTCTCCTGGGCTTCTATGGGAGGCCTCGGGGGTCGGGGCCTTTTGAGGCCGAAGAGGAGATGCCGCTCCAACGTGTTCGCTGCTTGAGTCAGGCCCTCCTCCTCCTCCTCCTCCTCCTCCTCCTCCTCCTCCTCCTCCTCAGCGTCCAGAAGACCGAGTCCCTGTCGATCCGACAGATCAGATTCGATCTCAGATGCGGCCAGCCCGATGCGACTCGACCCCGATGTACCGGCGATCCGAGGCGGCACGTGATCTGCATGGCGTTGTTGTGCATCCTGGCGCAGCGGGTCCGATGCGACTTCGATTCCGTGCCGATGCAGCCCGATCCGACGCACATTTGGATTCGATCCGGTTCCCCGAAGGCAGCATCTTTATCCCCGTCAGGGTCCCAAGGCGGCCTTGTGGACAATGTTGGAGGCTTTGATTCCCGAAGGTGTTGTGGGGTTTCGGGAGAAGTCACACGGAAGCCCTGGTCAATCCTGGAAGCACCTAGGAGCATGTCCGGGCCATGAGACTTCCAGACGTCAGGCCTCTGGTTCTGCAGGCGGCGCGAGTGGGACCCTCTCTTCTTCATTCTTCCTCCCCCCGTCTTTCCGATCGTCTTTCCTCTGAGATCCGACGGCGCGAAAAATCTGAGACATCGTAAAGCGCACGACAGGAGCCTTGGACCCCATTTTTCTGCGTCATGTTTCGGGCTGGATCGATCTGTGAGTGCCCTAGAGCCCGAATCTTGGCGGAGACGCCCGGCTCGGAAAAGTTGAGATGCCAGGATCTTGGGGTTCCCTTTTGCGCGAGGACTCCGCCGACGAGTTCCTGCCCCGCGCCCGCCCCTCAGCCGTCCGAGCATGCCGCTCCAGGCAAGCCTCGCTGGGACCTGCCCCCCTCTCTGAGGCGGTGCGGCTGTATATATATATACACATATACATACTCACATCCATATATATACACACACATATATACACACATATTCCTTTTCCCTATCAAATGATCAGGGACCCCCCTCCCGGATGGCCAGCACTTAATTCGGCCGCCCCGATGATCCTAGGGCTGCTCCGAGCCAGCCCGAAAATACAGCCAGGACGGGCCACGACCAGTTCCAGCGAGGTCCACGAGTGCTCCAGGAAGGCTGCAGGACGGCCCAAGACCGTTCCAAGAGAACCCAAGATCGCCCCAGACAGCCCAAGACGCTTCAAGACGCCAAAAGAGGCCCCAAAAAGGCCTCCCAAGAGAGCCCCGAGGGGCCAAAATCATTGATTCCCCATTGTGTGTTTCCTACGTTTTTGCTTTCTCGCCTTTTCACCTCTCCGACGCTCCAAGACGGCCCAAGAGGCCCTCAAGAGCGCCCCGAAACAGCCCCAGTGGTCCCCAACACAGCCCCAAGACGGCCCCAAGACGGCTCTGGAGGGCCCTAAGACAGGTAAACAGAGCACACGAGGGCCCCGAGCAGGCCCCAAGAGGGGCCCAAGAGGGCGACCAGCACTTTCAAAATCGATCTTTCCGCCCCGAGAGGGCCCCAGGAGGCCCTAAGAACGCCCCAAGAGGCCCCAAGAGGCTTCCAAGAGGCTCCAAGGAGGCCCCCAAGAGGCCCCAAAAGGACCCCAAGTGCCCTGAAAACTCGTCTGCCGGATGACCTTCCCCGCGGCCGCGACGAACCAGAACAATCCCAGAACAACCAGACCACCAGAACCACCCCAGACCCCCTAAGACGAACCAGAACAACCCAAGGACCCCGAAGCGACCCGGAGAGGCCACACACAGACAGGTTCGCAAGGTGTACGTTCCGTGGTCATTTTCTCACGTGGCTCGGAAGTGCCCCGAGATCCACCGAACAGCCAACAACGGCCCCTGACATCCCCACACATTATCCTTCAGCGAGCGCCCCACGGCCGCATACCTTCCCACCACGGCCATCACAAACCCCTCGGGGATTCGGAAGGGACCCCGCGAAGCCCAAATCACCCATTTCCACCGCGTTTAAACACATTCCTCAGAGCCGTTGTTGGATCTCTTCCGTAGGTTTGGGCTCCAAGCTTCCGCTGATGTTCACTCTCATTGGATGCAGCCTGACATGGCGGATGATGTCCATCGCCCGCCGTTGAGCCGCACATGCTCTGCTCAGCACTTCTACGACCTTCAACACGCAGGCCCGGGGCCTTTCACTTCTGCCTTATGCAGCAACCGCTTCCATCGCTGGCTTTCTGTACACGCGCCCTGCGCTTCTGCACACGAGATAGCGACGCAGATGTGGAAGTATTGTTTGGGCCGCGGTCGGGAGCATTTCTCGGCAAGACAAGCTGCCGCTGACTTGACTCAGGTGCCAGGGTGGGTGATTGGCCTCGGGCCCAGCTCCATGCCAACCACTTCCATCGCGGGGCCTGGAGCCCACGCTGGCCAGTATTTGGCCGCGGCCGCCGACGGCAAGAAAACGAAACACATCCCACGCTTCATGAACTACAAGGAGCAAACAGATGAGAGCGAATGAAGAAAGCTTGTTTGCCGGATGACCTTCCCCGCGGCCGCGGCCGCCGCGAGGTACACCCCGACGCCCGCTTAGGGCAGCCACAGCGCATAGAATTTAGCTGCGCGGGGGGACGCGCGACGCCCACGTTCGGAAACAAATCTGCGCGCCGGTTGGCCGGCCGGGCCCGAGTTCAAAGACGAAGCCGTCGGCACGAAGCAAAATTTAGTTTACCTGATGTCTCGCTTTGCGCCCCTGGACATAAACACCCCGTGCGAACAAAACACACACACACACACACACACACACGCACCACGGTCCCGCGGCGCCGGCCTGCCCGGAGGGCGCCAGACGCCCCCCATCCCAGCCCCCTGGAGCAACAAAAACAGCCGTCAACGTGAACCAACAATTGGTTGGGCCCGTCGGTTTGCTCTTCGTCTCCAGGCATGCTCACTTCTTACGAAAACCCACGCCCACTTAGGCCCCGCGGTTCAGGCCGCCCGAACGCGCCCCACGTCCCCCGCCCCCCGGCCCCCATAGAAAAAAACAGCCGTCGAAGTGAACCAAAAATTGGTGCGGCCACCTGGGGTGCCCCCACGCTTCTGGACGTGCTCCATCCTGACGAAAGCCCGCGCCCACGTCAACCCCGCGGAGCAGCCCGACCGCAGCGCCCAACGTCCCTCGCCCAAGCCCGGTGGCAAAGAAGCAGCCGTCGACGCGAACCAAAATGGGTTCGTCTTCGCTCATGGAGATGCTCACTGCTTCAGAGAGTCCGCGTCCTCCTGGGCCCCGTGACTCGAGCAGCCCTGTCGCCCCGCCAGCGCGACCAGCGCCCGACTTCCAGCACGGCCGCGCGCGCGACCAGCAGCACGACCACCAGCGCCACCGGGGGCGTGACCGCCAGCGCGACCACCAGCACGACAACGATCACGACAACGATCACGACAACCAGCAATAAAACAGCGAGCCCACCGTCACGAGCGCCAGCAAGACCACCAGCCCGACCGCCAGCACGACCACCCGCACGACCGCCAGCACGACCGCCCACCAACACCATCACCAGCACGACGACCACCATGACCAGCATCACGGCCACCAGCGCACCCACGGGCACGATGTCAAATATGAACACCAGCACGACCACGAGCACGACCGCCAACACAGCTGCCCTCCGTGGCTCTTCCTGCGACCACAAAAAAACCGAGCCGCGGTGGGATATGATATTCTCGCTCTTGCGCCAAGGATGAGGGCGAGGGACAAGATGTTGTGGCGAAGCGAAGCGGTCCAACAGTATCCTTTGACTATATATATATATATGTATATATATATATATAGCTTATCTCACACCAGGAAACCCACAGGGATGGCCCCCACCCAATGGAATCTGGAAGACCCCGGCGGTCCCCGAAGCTCTCCTGGGCCGTCCCCGGGCCCCCCTTGCCAAGCGCAGAGGAAAACGTAGATGTATAGCATTACGATATTTCGGCCATCACGGCGTGGAAGACGGCCCAAGAGGCCCCCAAGCCCGACCCCAGACGGCCCCAGAGGCTCCCAAGAGGCCCCCGAGACTGCCCAGGAGTTCCCCAGGACGGCCCAAGAGGCGCCCAAGACGGCCAAGGAGAGCCCCAAGACGGCGCCAAAAGGGTCCGAGAAGGGGAGCCCGAACCGAAAATTCGAGCCTCCACCCCAAACGGCCCCCAAGAGGCCCCAAGCGGTTCCCAAGATGCCCCAAGAGGTCCCCAAGGGGGCCCCCGAGAAGCCCCCAAGACGCCCCAAGGCGTCTCCAAGCGGCCCACAAGACGCCCCAAGAGGGCCCAAACACCCCCCAAGAGGCTTCCAAATTGTTTCAAAGAGACCCTTGAAAAAAGCTTCCCACGAGATCCCACCGAACATCCAAGAGGCCTCATACCCACAAGCTCGGCACGGTGGCGGGATGGGCTGACGGCTATCCCACAGAATCTGGAAGGCTTCGGGGGTCCCCGAGGCTTTCTCTGGCTCGTCCGCGGGGGCCCCAAGAGCCCTAAGGCTTTTCTGGCACTTCGAACTCGCGCATAGCGTCCCAGACCACCTCCATGGCCTCAACAGGCCCCGACGACCACGAGCGCTCGTCGACGAACCGGCGACCACCATGGGTTCGACGACGGCGACGACGACGTCGTCGTCGTCGCCGTCGTCGAACCGCACGCGCCTCTTCCACCACCCCGCGTGTTTTGCCGTTTCTCGCAGCCCCCTTTTTTCCTGCACATGTAGTTGCGCTTCGGCCCAATACCCGTTTGTCCTCCCCCCTCGCCTCGCACACAGTGCGCTGTATCAAGACTTTCAAGCGGAGCGCAGCGAGCTTCAAGTCTTGTGTATATACATATATATATATATATAAATAGATCGCGTGATTCAGCTACCCAGTCGTAGGACATGCCGCTGCAGAGGGAGCTGCAGATTGTGGCATTGAGCAGAGGAACCGACCACTCCCCAGCCCGCCAGACACTGAAAGATCCATCGGGACACTGCACAACAGGGCTTTGTCATATAGGGCTCTGCCATGTCCACACCGTCCCACGAAGAACCGAGAATGCTTCGACCCACGGTTGCAGCTCGGCTGCGCGCGGGGGGTGGTATAGATATTGGGGGGGGGCAGCCCTTCTCACAAAGCGGCGAGGCTTCTCAGAAGCCCCCTGGCCAGCCGAGAAGCCCTCCGTGGTTTGGGAAGCAGGCTCCGACAGCGTTTCAGAAGTTCGGAGGCCTCCCGAGCCTTCTGGGAAAGCCCGCCCCCTTCCGCCGTGCCTCCTGAGCGCGACGCTTGCGTCTCTCTCCTCTCGGTTCCCTCCTCCCTCCTCCAGCCCCTCCTCCTTAGGAGGGAGGTGGTCAATCATATAAGTTATGATACCAGAGAAAAACCCCAATCAGAATTTTGGGGGGGCTATGCAGCTTTAGGGCTTTAGGGCTATGGGGCTATAGGGCTATAGGGCGATGTGGCCATAGGGATTTAGGGCAAGAAGCCTTTAGGGCTATAGGGCTACAGGGCTATAGGGCTATAGGGCTGTAGGGCTAAGGGCTATAAGACTATTCGGGCTATAGGGCTATAAGGCTACAGGGCTATATACGGCTATAGGGCGTTAGGATCATAGGGCTATAGGGCTATAGGGCTATAGGGCTATAGGGCTATAGGGCTATAGGGCTATAGGGCTATGGGGCTATGGGGCTATTGGGCTATTGGGCAATTGGGCCATAGGGCTGTACGGCTATAGGGCTATAAGATTATAGTGCTATGGAGATATAGGGCGATTGGGCGATTGGGCTATAGGGATACTGCAGGGCTATTAGGCTAGGCACCCCCGGGCACTTCTGGGCACCCCGGGCACCCGGG